TGCCTTCTTTAGCAGTGGCTCTGAAGGGAGTGGAAGCCTGGCAGGAGCAGAGATGCTGATCCAGACCCAACACCACTCTCTCCAGGAGGGCAGAGGAGGTGCTGTCACTCAGAGAACTGCTCTGGGGCACCAACCTCAACTCCATTTCCACGGTTTTTACCCAATAAATACACATATCTACTGGTTTAAGTCCTGATAGCTCTCACTGAGCAAACTCTCAAACTAATTAAGAAAGCAACCAGGAAAATATCACTGGTACTTTTCTGGTTTATGTGAAGAGATGCTGAAAGATAGCAGGGACACAATCCAGCAGTGAGAGCCTGCAGCAAAGTGCAACCTGCCTCAGGTACAGCTACAGGTGCCACTTCTCTGTAATTCTTCCTGCATGAAAAAGCACCTGCTCGTCATGAAGGAGACTTGAGAATCAGCAGAAGTGGAAGTAACACTTCACACTTTGTGACTACCAGAACAGGGAAGGAACCTGTGTGACTAAGCACTGTGGTGCCTCTCAGGAGGCTCAGAATGTCCATTTTCTATCTGATTTACTGGTAACAATCTCCTGTGCCACTCAAATGATTCCACCCTCAAGGTGCAGAGAGCTGCTCACAAAAATGCCTCTGCTGGTCCATGGCCCATCCTCAGCTGAGGATAAGCCAATCCTACCATATTGCAGGGTGTACTTTTAATCCCAACTGGAAAAGTACCAAATATAAAAGAAACAAATTTCTCCTTATAAGTCCTTGAGAATATTCCCTCTAGAAATTGGAAATATTTGACTCCAGCCAAATTTTGGCTCAAGAGAGCATTTCCTACTTTCCTAAGGAAACAGGGATTAAACCTAAATACCCAGGGAACAAAAAGAGACATCAGGATACAGCTGCCAGTTCCTGTGCTTGTGCAGGCTGAGGTGGTACCACAGCTGGATCCACAGCTGGATCCACAGCCCTACAGGACACTCCCACAATCCCACAACAGCAGCTCTGTTGGAAGGCAGCTCTGCAGATCACCCAGTCACCTGGAGCAGGTGACACAGGAATGTGTCCAGGTGGGTTTGGAATGTGTCCAGAGAAGGAGACTCCACCCCTTCCCTGGGCAGCTGCTCCAGGGCTCTGCCACCCTCCACGGAAAGAATTTCTTTCTCATTCAGGTGGAACTCCTTGTGTTGTAATTTATGGCCATGGCTCCTTGGCCTGCCCTGGGCACCACTGGAAAGAGCCTGACACCATCCTCTGACCCAGCCTGGAAATATTCCTATGGATTGATGGGATCCCCTCTGAGTCTCCCCTTCTCCAGACCAACCAGGCTCAGCCCTGTGGTCTGTCCTCACATGAAAGATGCTCCTGCACCTTGCTCACATCACCTAAAACTTTTTATTCCAACAGTCCAAACACAAACTCTTTCTACAGCAAAGCACACCAACAAGCATTCTTAAAATGTGTACAAGAAGTGATATTCCAGTTTGTACACAGTGGTTCCCACACCTGTGGGGAAGACAGCTCCCACACACACAGCAGGACTCAGATAATCCTGCTAATTGCTAATAAAAGAAACCCTGCTTCCCAAGTTCTGTGGATGTCACTGGCATATCACTGCCCTGGGAGGGTGGGCAGGCCCTGGCACAGGGTGCCCAGAGCAGCTGTGGCTGCCCTGGATCCCTGGCAGTGCCCAAGGCCAGGTTGGATGGGGTTTGGAGCAACCTGGGATAGTGGAAGGTGTCCCTGTCCAGGGCAGAGGTGGGACTGGATGGGCTTTGAAGTCCCCTCCAAATCAAATCACTCTGTCACTCTATGATATAACCCAAAACGTAGAATTTGGAATTTAAAAACACGGATCACAAAACCATCTGAGTGCTTTACTGAGTGCACTGGCAAACTGCATTTAATACATCATCTTTTTAACACCAATGAACTTCCTAGGATCACATCCTAGATGAACATTCTGAACAATCTGGATGAAAAAATCCCTACCATTCCAGATTAATTCCTTCACTGGGGAACACAGGAAGGGCTTGAGTGCAAAGATGTCACCAAACAAGGTCTCCCTGACCATAGAGCCCATTTAGGACCTGCAAAACCACTTACCAGGGCCCTACTTTGTACACCACAGCCCGTGAGTCACCCCATCTAAAGCTCCCGAACCTTTTCAATTCCATCCCTGAACGTACATTAGAAAAGAAAAATCAAACCCAAGCTGTGGCTCTGCTAAGAACGGGTGGAAGGAGCAGCGCACTCCTGTTCCCTGGTACAAGTTCTGTAGAGGCAGAGCTGACAAACAGCACTGCAAGGTTTTATCTCAGTGCACAGCAAAGCAGGGACAGCGCACACAGCGTTCCCACCTGGGCAGGTAATAAATACTGCAACGAGAGTGAATCTCAATTTAACCAGACACGTTTTACCCAGCACTACAGAACCCAGCAGCTGCCCACCCCCGCTGTGACACCGCTGAGAGCCAACACAAAACAGCCAGGAGGTGAGAATGACAGAGTATTTGGGGTCGGAAAGAGCCTTTAAAGGTCATTAGTCCAACCCCCCTGTCACGAGCAGAGACATCTTAGGTTCGAGCAGGTTGCTCGGAGCCTGGTCCAGCCTGTCACTGAGTTTCCACCACCTCCCTGAGCAATTTGTTCCGATGTTTTAACACCCTCATGGTAAACATTTCTTTCTTAAACTTAATCTAAAGCGATCCTGCTCCAGTTTAAAACCATTATTCCCAGTCCTAGCGCAACAGGTGCCGCTAAAAACTCTGTCCTTATTTTTACTACAGACTCCCTTTAGGCACCGGGAGGGGCTTTAGGGTCCCCGGGAGCTTCTCTTCTCCAGGCTGACGGATCCCAATCCCCGCAGCCTTCCCTCAGAGCAGAGCCGCTCCACCCCTCCCACCAACTCTGCCCGCTCCAACAGGTCCGTGTCCCTCCTTCCCGGGAATCCCCGGCCGCGATCGGCGCTCCGGATCCCCGCAGCTCCCGAGCCCCGCCGCCCCTGCCCTCCCGCACGCCGCCGATCGCTGCCCGCGCTCCCGCACGGGCCCGGGCCAGCCGGGGGAGCCCCGCGCTGCGGGCGGGCGGGCCGCTGGCGGCGGGATGTCCCGGAGCAGCCCCGCGCTCACCTTGCTGCACGTCGCCGTTGGCGCCGCCGGGCACGGGCACGGTGAGCTGGCGCTCGGGCTCGGGCAGGCAGCGGCGGCAGAAGGAGTGCAGGCAGGGCAGCAGCTTGGGCTCGGCCTCCCGCCGGCTCTGCAGGCTCTGCGCGCACACCGCGCACGTGTCCAGCAGCGAGAACGGCCCCGGCGCCGCGGGCGTCAGCGGCGGCACCGGGCTGGGGCCGGGCCCCGCCGCCGCACCG